AATAGGGGGTAATGGGGAGAATAGGGGAACGGGGCAATAGGGGGATAACGAGGGATGTGGGAACAATGGAGAATATGGGGTTAAAGGGAGGGGTGTGGGGGGCGTGGGGAGGATGAGGGGGTCGTGGGGGCAGTGGGATGTGTGGGGGGGGGGGGGGGGGGGGGGGGGGGGGGGGGGGGGGGGGGGGGGGGGCAACGGGTGTCCCTGTGTCCCCACACCCCCAGGTGCCCGTGGAGGACCCCATTGTGTGCACGGACGAGGTGATCTTCCCACTGACCATCGCCCTGGACAAACTGCCACCCAGCACCGTCAAGGCCAAGGTGGGGACCTTGGGGACAGCTGGGGGCTTTGGGGACAGCTGGGGACCCCATGGACCTTGGGGACAGCATGGGGACGTGTGGGGACCTTGGGGACGGTGTGGGATTTTCAAGGACTTCGGGGACATTTGGGGGTCTCATGGATGTTGGGGACAGTGTGGGGACACTGGGGGCAGCGTGGGGACCTTGGGGACATGGGGACCTTGGGGGTGTTGTGGGGACCCTGGGAACAGCGTGTGGGTCTTGAGGACCTGGAGTGCCACAGGGACACTTTGGGGTCTTTGGGGACATCTGGGGACCCACTTGATGTTGGGGACAGCGTGGGGGACCTTAAGGACCTCAGGGACATTGTGGGGACCTTGGGGACATGTGGGAATCCCCAGGGACCTTGGGGACAGCCTGGAGACCTCAGGGACGTTGGGGACATTTGGGGACCTCAGGGGCATCTGGGGACCCCAAGGACCTTGGGGACGGCATGGGGATGTGTGAGGACCTTGGGGACATGTGGGGACCTCAGGGATGACATGGGGACCTCGGGGACAGCGTGGGGGTTCTGGGGACCCGGAGTGCCATAGGGACACTTCGGGGACATTTGGGATGGTGACACCGTGGGGTCCTCAGGGATAGGAAAAGCGCTTTGGGGACAGCCAGGGGGTCTGAGCTCAGAGCCCCGCGGAGGCCTCGAGGTTGCATTGGGGGGGGGAGGGGTAGGGGGGAGGAGGGGACAAAGGGACCCCGTGGTGACATCCTGGCTGTCCCCAGATCGTGGTGACGGTGTGGAAGAGGGACTCGGAGCCGGCGGAGCTGCAGGAGGGCGGTGGGTTCGGGGGGTACCTGGGGCTGCTGCAGGGCCGCGCGCCCACCCACGTCTTCCGACAGGAGCAGGGAGCCTTCAAGGCGCAGGGTACCCAAAACCCCCCCAGCCCCCCCTCGGGTCCCTTTGGCACTTCGACCCCCTCCCTTCCATGTCCCCTTTGTCACCCCGACCCCCCCTGGGTCCCTTTGGCACCCCCAGTCCCTCCCCTGGCTGTCCATTTGTCTCTCTGACCCCCTCG